GCCGCGGAGGCCGCGGAGGCCGGGGGCGCAGAGACCCGGGACCAGCAGGACGCCGCGCTGCCAGGTACCTGCCCGGGGGCGCGCGAGGTGCGAGGCGGGCACCCGGCGCGGGCGTCCGAGCTGCTCCGGGCAGCGCTTCCTGTTTCGTATTTTGGTTAGCTTTCTGGTTTTGTTTTGGTTTGCTTGGGGGACGGAGAACGCGCCTCCCCCGGTCACTGGAGGAAGGCGTGGCCCGCCTGCGCCGTCTCCGCCGCGTCCTTAGGGGGTGGGCAGGGACTCCGGAGGGCGGCTGGGCCGGGGTCTTCCCTCGCTTGTGGACGCTGCGCGCTCCTCGCGCTGAGAAGCACGGGCTGACCTCTCCTTCGAGGTGTGCAACCCGCTGCCCTCGGGGCTCTCGTCGGCGCGCAGGGGCCCTACCTCCCTCCGCCAGGCGCGGACCTGGGGCGTTCGGTTTGGGTGGTGGGGTCCTTCTCGGCGCCCAGGTTCGGCAGGCCTCGCCGCGAAGTCCCCGGACCCTAAGCAGAGTCGCTGAAAAAAATAACGGCAATTTACTGAGAGCCTATTATATATCCCATCACCGATCTGTACTTTCTCATCCAGTGTTCAGAACAGTCGTGAGATGTAGGGGCACAGTTGTAATCTGTTTTTGTAAATGAAGACATGGAGTCTCGGGATGCATGAGCAAAGTCTCAGGAGATGGAATTTTGACTGTGTGAGTCTGGCTAGACTGTTGGTCACCGTGTTAGCTGTTCTCACATCGTCCGTGGCAGAGCGGCCTACTGTCATGTCGCTTGAGTCCCCACCATCTCCTGATGCTTGCGTGATCATTGCTAGAAACCAGCGTAGCAGACAGTGGAGGCAGCAGCAACGGGCTCCCGGCCATTTCTGTGAGAACCAGCCACCTGCTAAGTTAGGAGATGGACCCGTATCAGGCTGAACGGGCTTCTCTTCCCTTCGCTGTCAGTGAAGGAGCTGCAGCTGCAGCGTGCAGTATAGAAACTGTTCAGGCGGCATCTTAGCTCGGAGGGTACCTGTGAGGTGCCTTGAGTTCATGACTGGTGTGCCTTAAGTGCTTTCCATGGAGATGCGGGCTCCTCCTCCTGGACTCTGCAATGCTTTGCTAAAATTTCTAACTTAGGCATCAGGGAAACGAAAGGATGTTTTCTTTCAGAACTCGCCATCACAGGCTTTTTTCTGTTGCCACTTTCTGAAAAGACCCTCTCGATTCTTGCTTCGGACAAGAATAAAAAATTTTTTTTCTTTCTCTGTGGGACCCAGGGGTGCCCTACCACCAAGCTACATCTCCAGCCCTTTTTATTTTCAGTTTATTATTTTGATACGAGGTCTTGCTAAATTGTTGCCAGGCAGGACTCTTAACTTGTGAATCTTCTGCCTCAGCGTCCCTGTTGCTAGGATTACAGATCTGGCCACCGTGGTAGGCTTTTTAAAAATGTTTTCACGTGAATGCTTTTATATAGTAGAGTGATGAGAACTCTTTGGGATTGGTATTAAAAAATACTTTTCTTATTGAAGCTATTTATACACAGAATCATGTATTTCTCTACAGCTTATTGCAAAAATATGGTGATCGTCAGCCATACACACATGCCAAGTCCTGCTTGATGGCTGATTGCTTTCAGCTCTTCTAGCTTTTCTCAGAACTGCCCTACCTTGCATCTCATGATTCCTTTTTCCTTCAGCCAACACACCGGGTTGGTTCACTATCATGATCATCTCAGCTTGTCCCTCTGGGGCCTCCGACCTACTTCTCTCTGGCCTGGCTGCTGCCCTGGCCCTGCTGCCTCTAGCACTGCCTAGCTTCTCTCTGGCAATAGCCACTGCCAAGTATCCACTGCCATCTTTCTCCTGGTCTGTCCCTCCTTGGTGGTGCTCACCTTCAGGCTGCCTGAGATGAGCTAGAGGCTGATTTTCAGAGATCGTCATCAGAAGACAGCTTTACTCCACTCTCACAACTGTGGCTGGGTGAGGAATTCTGGGTCAAAAGTAATTGTCTCTTTAAAAATCCAAAGGTGTTGCTCAGCTATTCATCTCCCCACCTTGGGAAGCTGTTAGGGTCTTCTCTTTGTCTTTCCTGTCTGAAACTGACCTAGGTCTGTTTTCCTCCAGTGTGTTGGGAACTTGGTAGGTCTGTGTAGTTAAACTCACGTTTTTAATTCTGGGAAGTTTTCTTGAATTATTTTATTTTTTTGAGGGGCCTCACACGTGCTAGGCAAGTGCTGTACCACTGAGCCCCTCCCTAGACCATCTTTTCTTTGTTTTACAATTTAATTTAATTATTTTTTGAGATAGGTCTTGCTATGTAGTTCAGGTTGGCCTTGAACTCACTGTGTAGGTCAGCTCAGGCTGGCTTCAAACTCCTACAATCCTCCTGCCTCAACCTTCTTAGTGCTGGGATTACACGCTTGCACTACCACACTTGGCTACAAGTGTATTTTAAACTGATACATGAAAACAAAAGTTATACATATTTATAGGGCATTTTGTGATATTTGTATACATGTGTAATGTTTAAATCAGGTTAAGCATATATTCTCAAACATTTGCCATTTCCTTATAGTGAAACCGTTTAAATCTAGCTTTTTGAAATATGCAGTACTTCTTATTTTTTTTCGAGAAGATCTCTCACTATATAGCTCTAGCCCCCCTCCCCTAGTACTGAGGATTAATATCCTGAGCCCTATTCTTATTATTTTGAGACAGGAGCTCACTAAATTGCGCATGCATGGTTTGAACTTCTGATCCTTCTGTCTCAGCCTCTTTAATGCTGGGATTACAGGTGTGTGCCACCACACCCTCCTTACTTCTTGATCCTATCTAACTTTACCCCTTGATCAGTTTTTCTCCAGCCTGTGGTAAGTGCTGTTCTACTCTCAGTATCCATGAGATCTGCTTTTCTAGATTTCATGTGTGAGTGAGGTGCAGTGTTTATTTTTCTTTACCTGGTTTATTTCACTAACAGGATGTGAGAGCTATCTGGCTGTGACATCTGTTACCCCATTGATCGCCAGGGTTGATTCGGCTGATCTGGCTGGCTAGGCAGGTGTCCCCTTCCACCCTCAACGCTCCGTGTGTGTCCCTCCCAAAGCTGCGCGCTAGGTCCAAGAGGATGACCATCCCAGATAGAGGAGGACCGTTCCTTGGTCAAGGGTATACAAATAGCTGCACTCCCCTGCTAGAACCTCCAAACAAGCTCTCAAGGCATATTTTACTAACATAATGGTCTCTAGTTCCATCCCTGTTGTTGCAAATGACAAGATTTTGATCCTTTTTATAGCCAAATAGTATTTCATTAAGTATATATGCCACATTTTCTTTATCTGTTCATCCATTGATGAATAGATTGTTTCCATTTCGTGGCTACTGTAAATAGACCTGACATGGGAGTGCAGATGTCTCTTCTGTGTGCCAATTTCATGTCCCTTGGATATATAGCCATTACTGGGATTATTGGGTCATGTGGTAGTTGTACTTTTAATTTTTTGAGGAGCCTCCATGCCGTTTTCCATAATCAGTCTACTAATTTACACTTATACCACAGCACATAGGTTTTGTTTTCTTTGCAACATTGGCAGCTCTTGTTATGTTTTGCCCTTTTGATAGTAGCCATTCGCATTGGAATGAGCTGGTTTTTGTTTGCATTTCCCTGATAGTTAGTAATGTTGAACATTTTTTCACATCTTTCTCTTCCCATCCCCTGCCCTTTGCCCTTGCCCTCTCCTTTCTGTCCTTTCTCTTCTTTACTGGGGATTGATCCCAGGGCCTTTACACCAAACTCCATCCCCAGCTATTATTATTATTATTGTTACTATTTTGTTTTTGAGACAGGATCTTGGTATGTCACTGCATTGCCCAGACTGGACTCAAACTTGTACTCCTCGTGTTGCCTCAGTCTCCTGGAGTGCTGGGATTTCATAATTCTTTTTGTGCTAGGATTTTATAATTCTGTTTTTGGGAAATGTCTATTTAGGGCTGGTGCCTATTTTAAAATTGGGCTATTTGGAGTTTTCTGGATATTAACCCTTGTCACATGTATACTCAGTTTTTTCCTTTTTTCCTGTGGATCTTGGATGGATGTTAGACTTTATGAATATATTCTCTAATTTTCTAGTTTCTTTTCTCTCCCACTTCCCATCTGTCTTTCTGTTCTATTTTTCTGGGTAATATTCTGAACCATATCTTCCAACTTGCCATACATTTTTCATTTGTGGGCTCCTGTTTACAGTGTTTTTAAATTTAAGAGGCCTTGACTTGTTTTCTGAACCTGCCTCCTTCCCTCCCTCCCTGTCTCCTTCCCACTCCCTTTTTAAAAACACAGTCCAGTTCTTGATTTGTATACATAATTTTCTTTTTCTTTTAGAGGCAGGGTCTTGCTGTGTAGTTCAGGCTGCCCCTGAGCACACCATGTAGCCCAAGCTGGCCTCGGACTCACAGCAGTCCTTCTGCCTCAGCCTCCTGAGTGCTGGAATTACTGGCGTGCCCCACCACATCTGGCCCATAGATCTTTTCCTGCTGAGGCTATTACTAGAAGATTGTCTTCTCTCAGTTTTTCAGGCATAGTCTATTTTACACCCCCTCCTTTTTTTTTTTTGCTTGTAATTCTGTATTGTCATGTTGGAGGCTTTTTTCAAATGTTTGATGACTCTTGGCTTCTCCTTATTAAAGAGATTGGTATGAAAAGCTCTCTGGAAGTTTCCTGCATGTGCATGTGTGTGTGGGAGGTGGCGTTGCTCAGTGATGTAGAACTCCTTCCCATTGCCAGCATGCTTCAAAGAGTGGGCTAGAGTATCTCCCGTTCCTTATTTCATAGCCCTTTTTTTAGATTAAATTTTATTTTAGAAAAGTTTACATGTGCATAATTTTAAGCAGTGTGCCTAAAATGAACAAAAATGTCATCTTACCTCCTTCCCTGCACAAGTCCCTTATTCCTTCTCTTTTCAGCTTTTCTTTTAGCATTGATCAGCCTTTTCACATTTAGTCTTATTAGATAGCCTTTTGATTTTTTTTGAGAAAAAGTCTCATTGTGTAGTTCAGGCTGGCCTTAAA